TGACTGGTTTTTTGTTTCGGGTTCGTACGCGTATATCCAGGATTCGTCACCTGATACAATGTTGTATATAGCATTTGAGGATCCTGCGTGGAATCTTTCGAGAGCTCTGACGCACCAAGTAACGCGAGCCGCTTTTTGCTTTTCACAGAGCGAATGCGGTATCCATCGGGAAAACAACTTTTTTACACCTAATTGTTTATGCAAGATTATTTGTATTTGACTCATGCCAATGTCTAAAGTTGCCTGAATTTCGCGGTATGTCACATGTCGCTCTTCCTCAATCAGCTTACGCACAACATCAACGTTTTCTTGGGTGACTGCAGTTTTTGGACGACCTTGACGGGGATCATCACTGAGCTTGACACGTCCACGTTGAAACTCAGCAAACCAGCGATAAATTGTGGTTTTGGATGGGGCTTCATCACCAAATGCAGAAATCATCCGGTCAACACACTGTTTTTGTGTTAAACCACTTCGAAGGTCATAATAAATCATCGCTCTTGAACTTTCTCGAGTCAATTCCATTTTCTCAACGACTAAACAAGTTTGACAAAACTTCGTGACAAGACCGAGAATCTTTTTTTAAATAAATAAATGGTATTCGATTTTTAAAACCAAGGAGTTTTCAATTAAAAAGATTTTAATATGACAGGAACAGTGGAAATATTCCATTCCCGATACTTTTAGTGCAGCCTAGTATGATTTCGCTGGTATTTTCAGAACTTCGGACTTTTTTTCTCAAAAGATAGATAATATTTTGACACTGTGAACAATACATAGCTTTCAAGTTGAAAATGAATTCTTCGTCAGTAACGATTGACTATATAAAATATTTACTATATTAAAGGACGTATAGCACTGAATAACAGGATAGTTTAAGAGCTAAATCACCAGCCTAATCTAACCAAAGCTAAGCGCTAAAGAGAAAACTCAAGCAAACTCAACAAATCATTACTAAAGCAAACAGAAAGCAAAAGATAACGCTCTCAGCACATGTGTACAATCACACTGTATTTTGACAGTCAAGTAATGTGCAATATTACTTTAATCATGAAAAATAATAAAGTGTTATCAATACGGAATGCTCAGGTGTCCAGTTCAAGTGTTTTGTAAGCGCGGTAGACACTCGTAGTTAGTGTTAATATTTAGTAAAAGCTTATCATTAAGTGTTTGTGTTCTTGTGTCGATAATAATTTAATTAAAAAAAAAATACTGCGTTAATAGCTAAACATTGAGATTTGAGGATCAATTTAAGGAATTAGTTTAAATTGAGAATATTCTCAATTTAAACTTAACAACGAACAGCAATTCATTTTTATAAATAGAGTATATACTCTATAAAATGAGTATATACATAAAAATGAGTAATATTATAAATAGAGTATATACTCTATTTATAAAAATGAATTACTGTTCGTTAGTCTCGCTTAAACTCAAGAACGGCTGAACCGATTTGGCTAATTTTGGTCTTGAATTATTTGTGGAAGTCCAGAGAAGGCTTAAAAGGTAGATAAATATGAAAATGCTCGGAATTAAATAAAAATAACAATTTTGTTTTTCCTTCGATGTGTCCCTCGTCGGACCGATTCCTTTTGTTTGTTTGTTTTAAGTTTATTTATACAAAAGTTTAGGTCTCTTATTTATCAATTGAGGCACTACAAGGTCTGCTGGGTCAGCTAATTGAGAATATAATCAAATGGCACCGCCTAATCGATTCAGAAATGCACGTAAAAGATGCGATTCATCGAAGACCGGGTCACAGCCATCTCTGATATTGTTACCACCTTGACTACCACTTAGGTCAACGGTCACTTACGCAGCGTACTGAAATAACTATATCGATTTCTGTCTTCGATCTTCTTATTAAGGCGCTGGAATATCTAGTTAAAATGAATCTAGATATTTCTAAGAGACCTAAATGTTTAAAACAAACATTAAAAACAAAGATGGCCAAGGCGCAAAACAGAAATCGACATAGTTACTTCAGTGCTCCGCGTAGGGCAATGACGACTTACATGGTAGTCAACGTTTTAATACAGTACGAGTAACGCCATCAAATAGGAAAAAATGGGCATCGAAACAATTAGAGCATTCCCGAATGATTCAGTTGTATCGAAAGTTCTAGCTCCATCTGAAATGTTCTGGAAACGAATATAAAAGTGTCGCATAGGCGACATGTGAAGCAAAATCACCTGACGAAAGGATCACCTGGAGAATGGGAAAAAGTGCATTGTGATAAGATAGTCTACATTGTCGTAATAATTAAATTCATTTTATAATTAGCATTTATTTCGGTAAAGAGTTTTTATTCTTCATTAGTGCTAGCTCGTGAAAAAATCAACATTATGCGATCCCCAATCGAAGTTTTCTCGACGAAGGACACGTTGTGACTACCGAAGAAATCATACGTTTTAAATTTAAAATGGAGCAGCCGTTAAGCAATACAATTAAGTCTTCGAAGCATTAGACAAGATGAATAGTGGCATCAAGTTTTGATCTCTATGAACTCCTGTAATCACTTAATAGTCGCTTACACCAAAAAATATCAAATTTTCTTTTCATGCATTTAACACATGTGCACGCTGTGGCATCAAAGCAATTCACACCTAACGACCGCACCCTTCCCTTGTCGTAGCTACTTTATAATTTAAACATTGGTAAACTGGAAAACGGATTTCTTATTACGGTAGGCCGGTATATTCACAAAACTCACTTCGGTCTTAACGCGGTAGGCCGGTTAATTCATCTTGTTAATTTTGAAAATAACTAAACAAAATTCAAAACGATTTTGTGCGTGATTGTACAAAAATAATTTATTAGCGTGAACGCCTCCGCAATGAAATGTTTTCATGTAACTTTTGAACTCTTCAGATTCACTTTAACTCGTGTCTAATGTATATTAGAGTATTCGGTAGATCAAACGACTCCCTAAATATCCACGTATAAAATTTGGTAAAAAAAAGCGTCCGAATTTAATGTATTTAGGTATATTTCTCTACATACATCTCTCTCTACCGTTAGAAGAGGACAAAAGATATCTCCAGTGCCAAGTGGTTTATTGTGTCTAGTAGAAAATCAAGCACAAAATGTCTAAGCATGTTTAACAGTCTCTTGTTGGTACCTATAACGCAGGGAATCCTAATTTGGAGCCGGATGATCGTGCGTGATTTGTTCCCAGTTAGCAAGTTAGAAAATGTGCACAATTAAAAAGATGCTTTAATTTAATAACGGTGCCCGATATTTGTGCAAAGTCTCACGTGATCCTCAAATATTATAATAAACAATAATGAGGTTATCAGATACATAAGGCAGCATTGAAAGCGTCTAGAAAACTATGTAAGTACTTTCAAAAGATCTCGCCAATCGCTCCTACAAAAATTACACGAGCAATTTCTTACTTTGAGAATAACTAAGCCGAAAAGAATTAGAGATGGCGTACCAACGACACACCAAATAGAACATCGACGACTTCAACTGACTTGGAAACATATGGTAACTTGATTCAGAAATTTTCAAATATAAATAATTTTCGTTCACCTGTTACAAGCTACCCTTATATGATACTGAAGCTCTGATTATTTAGAAATACGTGGTAATATTGCAAAAGAATAGCAAGCAATTTTTCCCTTCCTAAATTCTTGTAGCCTAAGGTGCTAGCTTCTTTTTTGGTTGGTTACTGGAGCCCATATACATCTACAACGTAAATGCGCCAACCACCTCGAGATATAAGTTCTAAGGTCTCAGTATAGTTACAACGACTACCCCACCCTTCGAACCGAAACCCATTACTGCTTCACGGCGGAAATAGGCGGGGTGGTGGTACCTATCCGTGCGGACTCCCAAGAGGTCCTACCACCAGTAATTACGCAAATTATCATTTTGCGGGTTTGGTTTTTATTACACGATGTTATTCCTTCACCGTGGAAGTCAATTGTGAACATTTGTTGAGTACGTATTTCATTAGAAAAATTGGTACCCGCCTGCGGGATTCGAACACCGGTGCATCGCTAGATACGAATGCACCGGACGTCTTATCCTTTAGGCCACGACGACTTGCGGACTAGTAGGTGAGCTCACGGGCCCAACCTGATAGAGTTTGGAATCACTGGCCCTAGCAAGAGCATTGGTTCGTTGAATCTACTACTGGATCGGAATCGCGACTCACTGAGAATATCCGGTGAGAAACTCAGTAGCTTGTATCTATGGGCCAGCTCGCACATTGAACTCCTCGTCGAAATCGACACCTCAACGAAGACGGTGACTTGTTTGAGACCGCTTAATAATAAAATATCATATTTAATCTGTAACATTATTAAATTATCGCCAAAAGATGATGAAGAGTGAAACATTATGAGTATTACAATATATAGTCGTTGCAAATTTGAAATCTCCTATGTGTATAAATGTAGTTTTCGAGAAAATCTAATAAAACTACCTCCTGATAAAAAAAATGCAAATGTTTTTTTAGCACATACGATAGAATAGGGATACTTTAATCTACAAGAAAATGCAAATCGACACTTAGGATTTTTTTAAGATTGACGCGTAAAAGTGATATGTTAAGATATGCACATGGGAGCTTTTGCTGAGTACAGGTATTCAAAATAACTTTCATAATATATGAAAACATAATTTTGGCCCAAAATGTCACATAGGAGATTTTTAATTTGCAACGACGATTTACATATAACCGCCAACCGCATTGTGGTTCGCAATCAACCCCCTCGCAGATAATCGTCGAGTGCTGAAAAGAGCCGACCCCAGAAACTGAAGCCTAAAGAAGACGCTGGCCGAGCTAGTGCACGTTCTCTTTTTATTAATCCTCTCTTATTATGCGGTAATAAACAAACAGTCCACTTAAAACCGTATGACGGGGCATGGAGTCGCGCAAATAAGTCTTTATCACTTAGCGTCTATAGTGGAAACAATCATATCATCCAAATATCGCTTACAGGAATCCGTTAAAAACAGAGAAAAGACATTAATGCTTAATCAGGATTCTATAATAAATTTTTCATTTCGAAACGCTGCAAATCTCTCATTTTCTGATCGCTCAAACGTTTCAAATTCTTATAAACTTTAACACGATTCAAAATATTCCTGTACGTTGGTAAATAGTAAACGCTGTTCATGTACTTTTTCTCCTTCATCTCTTCGAACTGTTGACAGTAATTGTACCACCAGGGCAGCACCATGTACTGCCTCGAGGGTTGCAGTTGCATCTCCGCACAGAACAGCTTGTTGGGAATTTTCAAATCTATTAATGCCTTTTGCCCTTTACGTCTCAACTCCGGAGGGAAATATACTTGAGCGGTGGTCGTTTGAGGCTGCGAACGCCTTTTGGGTAGCAAATAAGGTCGTGCCGGAGCGAGCAAGGCGAAAAGCTGAAAGCCAAATCAATTTATTTGAAATTAATGATATTCTGATTTCACCGTTATAGTTGAATGGATGGAATGTATGAATGACGATATGTGAGAGAAAGGAGTGAGCGTTGAGATGATAGCTGATAGAAGAGAATGGAATAGAAAATTTAAGACAAAGAGGAAGAGAAGAGAGGAGAGAGAGTTCACCATTATGACATTGTTTGGTCCAGAAATGAACATATCTAGTATGAACTCGAACTTGGGGCAAAAGAGGAAAAAATAATTGAGTAAGTAAAAAGTAAAATGAGTAAAGAGTAAATTGTAATCCATTGTCAATAGACACGATTGTTTTGTGTTTTAAAATACGACATAATAGTACAAAACCTGTTTTAAAAAACCACCTAATATTCTTTTGAAAACTAATTTTAACTTTATACCATAAAGCGAATGAAATTCTTACCAAAATAAATAATTTTAACATATTCGATAAAAACAAGTCGTGCTCACAATCTCAGAGCTATCGAAGTTATATGAGACTGAAAAATAATTTCAATACGGTTTATTATGCGCATACAATATCGCGAGGGACGTGTCAGACTGTCCGTCGCCGGTCTTACTCAAAACATATCATTATTGTTTATTTAAATGTGTAAGCGGCTTCAGCAATGCCAGGGGCAGTGGCTTAGTTCTACCCTTAGCATTGCTGAGGTCCATGGGCGACGGTAACCACCCACCATCAGGTAGGCCGAACGCTCATCTACCTACTAGGGCAATAAAATAAAAATAAAAAATACGCACACACTATATCTTTCTTTGTTTTTTTTTAAATCCAGCAATCTTTATCGAAACATGATAAAGTTATTCGAATAGAGTATTGGGATTTTGTTGCTCTAGAGAATTCTTTCGCATTACATACGTATTATTAAAGTACCTATTTTATTTTATATACATTGCGTCTCAGTGAAGACGCGAATTGAATTTTGGGGGTAGTGACGGCGCAAACATAGCCGTAGACCGTGGTCTAAATGTCATTCTTCGGAACTTGTATACAGTAAACTTATCATGGATAGATTCAGGAATAAAATAACTTGTATTCTATGATAGCTACACACTACAAAACGTGGAATGCTCTAACGAATTGTTCGATAATGCGCTTTTTTTTATTGCTTAGATGGGTGGACCACCTGGTGTTAATTAATTGTTTTTAGTCATTCTCATAAATTGTAATTTTAATTTTATTGTATTTTGATTTAGATGTTATGTACTTGTATGTGACATTTCATGGGCTTGAGTTACCTGAAATAAACGCATTTCATTTCATTTAATTCATTTCATAGACATCCACAACGTAAATGCGCCACCCACCTTGAGATATAAGTTCTAAGTTCTCAGTATAGTTACAACGGCTGCCCCACCCTTCAAACCGAAACGCATTACTGCTTCACGGCAGAAATAGGCAATGTGGCGGTACCTACCCGTGCGGACTCACAAGAGGCCCTAACACCAGTAATTACGCAAATTATAATTTTGCGGATTTGATTTTTATTACACGATGCTATTTATTCCTTCACCATGGAAGTCTATCGTGAACATTTGTTCAGTACGTATTTCATTAGAAAAATTGGTGCCCGCCTAGGCTTCGAACACCGGTGCATCGCTCAACACGAAAGCACCAGACGTCTTATCCTTTGCCCACCTTGCTTTCGGAATAAAAGCCACGATTATTTTAATGAGTTCCAAATATTATTATCCAGTTACAATCTGCAAACTGATAATATTTATTAATGTATGAAAGACAGCCCCTAATTTTTAAAACAATTTGAAAAATAATTCCATGTTGTATTTGTGGTATTTTACGGCTCAGTCCCGCATACATTATTTCTAACGTTAGGAATACTTTATGAGTTTTCATGATCACGGACGACTAAGGTGCTATTCAGCGAAATTTTAGTATTGTGCAAGCTACCGTCAACTTTTTATTAAAAAAAAAAACTGCTTGACATTAACTTTGACTTTAAGTTATTTGTGTAATACCATTTTGGCTGTTCACATCCAACGTTAGAAGCGAATTATATTTCACAAAACGATTCACAAATCTTCTACGTTATGTGCTATGTCAGAATCAGAAACCTCACTAAGGCACCAACAATGCACAGTTTTTTTATTGCTCTTGTAGGCAGACAAGCATACGGCCTGATGGTGAGTGGTTACCGTCGCACATGGACTTCAGCAATGCCAAGGGCACAGCCAAGCCGCTCCCTACTGTTATGTTCTCTCCACAAGACTCGTTTGAAGACGACCAAGTCATAGCGCTCGGGAAACACCGTGGAGGGGAGCTCATTCCAAAGTGGCAGAAAAGATCTTTGGAAACGCACTGTGAATGAACGTAGTGGCTCCAGGTTTCGCTCGTTCATTTTCATAAACGTTGTATTAACACATAGCACACGAATAAAGGGACCCAGACACTACTAACCTACAATAAGGTATACTTTTGATTGTCCTGCACAGTCCATTTCCAAACGGACAAAAAAATAGCTATAAATATCTACGCTCCCCTCTGTACTGTTTCTCTTAAATGACAAACAAAGGGGTGATACCAAGTTGATGCTTTGTTTATATTAATGCAGATTGCCTACCATTACTCTGATGAGTATGAAAACACCATCAAAAGTATTCCTAGATACCGGTTGTTTTGGTTGCAGAAATATTGTAATCAAGAATTTAAAAAGGCCAGCTTTGTGTTTGCTGGTTTCCACATAGGTACTTTCCGACTTAATGAGGCTTTGGCTTGTGAAATGAGATATATTTATACCTTTTTTTTTGTTTGTTTAGATTGGTGGACGAGCCCACAGCCCACCTGGTGTTAAATGTTAATAGAGCCCATATATATCTACAACGTAAATGCGTCACCCACCTTGAGCCTTGAGGTATAAGTTATAAGATCTCAGTATAGTTAAAACGGCTGCCCCGCCCTTCAAATCAAAACGCATTACTACTTCACGACAGAAATAGGCCGGGTGGTGTTACCTACCCGCGCGGACTCACAAGAGGTCCTACAACCAGTAAAAATGCCGTTCTAATACTGTACAGAATCAGATAATGATTACATGAGATTTGAAGGTTGGCAGTTACCAGGGGTTTCTCAAAATACAAACCCCAAGAAAGGTTACTACACGTTATTATTACACGATGTTATTCCTTCACCGTGGAAGTCAATTGTAAACATTTCTTAGGTACGTATTTCATTAGAAAAATTGGTACTCGCCTGCGAGGTTCGAACACCGGTGCATCGCTACATACGAATGCACCGGACGTCTTATCCTTTAGGCCACGACGACTTCCTCTCTCTCGACCACTTGAACTTACACCCTATTCAGGAATTGTTGGCCCGAGGTAGGCACGGTAGTTGATAACTATTACATTACATAATTTACATACGCAATTTAATAAAAAATATATAACTGAATGTAAAATCAAAGGCAAATAACACAATACGAAACTAAGCGAAAATTGATTTAATAAGTTATCCTAAAAAATACACAGATGGCATATAAATCGGTACATGAAAATATAAAGGATAGTAAACAGGATATGCAAAAATAGGTGTTGGTTTATTTAAAGATTTATTTGCCGATTTCTTCAGTTGACAGAAAATATTCTTTGCATATTCCTCGACATTGGATGTTGGAATACAATTAATTACGCGATCTTCAAGAATCATTGTTAAAACAATGGCAATTAAAATGAAAAGCATGCTGAAAAAAGAAGGGATTAGTTACAAATTGGCTTCCGAAATAACAACAATCTGGCAATAAAATTCAAATTACCGATTAAGAGGATGGCGTCCCATACTGATACTATCGTTCTGATTAAAGACTGGAGAGATTAACATAAATTCCAAACGAACTTAAGGATTCTTTGAAAATAGCTGGCACCATACTGTGATATAGCTTTATCTTCTAGGAGTATATTCTTCGCCAATAAATTAGCTTAATAATAGCTGACAGAATCACTTCGATCCACATAAAAAAACTTACACTGCTTTAAATTATTTGATTCGAATTAAAATATAACTTAAAAAAAATACAGAATTGGATTTGATTTTTTAGTAAAATAACCAAAAATTGACTATATTGGGACGCTCGCTCAGATTCAGAATTTTCAAATAAGTATCTTGAATTTAGTTTATCGTATATTCTCTTAGTGGAATAAAAAAAAACATTCATATTGTAAAATTTGTATTTTTTTACGAGCAATGTAAAACGTGGAATACGTATTCTTTTTTTTTATGATTTATGGTTTACTTTTTTTTTGTGACTGAAAGATTACTGGTGGCCCGGAGGCCTTTCCAGTTTCACCAGAACAGGTGGGCAAGCGAAGGCCAGGAGGGGTGGGATTTGCTAAGAATTGCCCGAGATGGGTGGCGCATTTACGTTGTAGATGTCTATGGGCTCCAGTAACCACTTAACATCAGGTGGGCTGTGAGCTCGTCCATCCATCTAAGCAATAAAAAAAAATAAAAAAAAGGAGATCTAACAACTCAAGAGCAATTGCTTCGCGAATGAATCTACTACCGCATCGGAATCGCGACCCGCTGAGAAGATCCGGCGAGAAACTCAGCGGGCTGATGCATGGGTTGCATGGATTGCACGTCAACCTCTTTGTCGAGTTCGACGAGTACGGTTAACGATCCTAGTGTTAGACCTGAAGACGTCGTTATGGCTTACTGGTGGCCCGAAGACCTTTCCAGTTTCACAAGAACAGGTGGGCGAGCGAGGGCTTAGCCAGAAGAGGCGAGATTTGCTAACTATTCTCAAGGGAGTGTTTTATGTGTATTTTAGTAAATTAACATTATTTATTGTTTACTTTAAAGCTGAATACTTTAATCCGATTATGACAAAGCAAACTGTCGCCTTTTGACCTGCATTTTATTAACCCAGTGATAGAATTAACCCATATTTAATTCCCTCCAAACCATTTCTCCCGTAAGCGTTTCTCCATTCCGTTTTAAAGTGAACAGATAACATATTTTTACCCCGGCGTCATGGGGGTGGAATATTTCTACACGGACGTGGGGGTAGATCATATCTACCCAATATTTTGACTTAAGATATTTCAATAATATTAAACTAAAAAGTTAATTTTTTTGTGTTAATGACTTATTGTCTTATGGTTTAGTAAATAAAACAAGAATTTGTATTACAGAATATCGTAATTAAATCTTTAAATTCACCTTTTTCTTTACTTACACTTTTTTTATACAAAAACACAATCTCACAACCAATTTGAATCAATTCGCAATATTCGTATTTCAAATAACATTTTCAACGAAAGTCGAAACATAAATATCGTAATACTTTTTTATGAACTAAAACAACAAGTATAAAAACCGTTTCCCGCGCATTCTTGGTGAATATATAAAAATAGCTGTAGAAATAGCACTTTTCCAATAATCACTTACCATGATTTCATTCCCGGAACCATTTATTGGGTGGTAATTAAATAATATTCGTTTTTAAACTCAACTTGGTATGCAATTCTAAGTTCCAATAAATCAGAACATTTAAAAAAAAACACACCGTTTGATATGCCACTTGCAGCTCTGAATGTACTTCGGAATTTACCTTTTCAGCCTTACGATTATTTGCCTTAGTTTAAAGTTCATAGATTCCTTTTTTCCTTTGCCATTGCATATACCTTGAGAGATGGCAACTCAGGGAGTGAGTGAATTCAAAACGCTTCTCTTTTCGAACTTAGTTAGGACTTTAAGCGGGAACGCGAGGAACGAAGTTGTTTGAGCTGTTTCGTAAATTTACTGTTTTTGTTGTTTTAAATGTGTAATAACGGCGTCTTATTAACCGCTTTTAAAAAAAAAAACTAAAGTCTATAAGTATAATAATCATAATACATGTAAATTGTTATTATTATTTTATTAAAATAAGTTTGAAGAGAACGAGAATCAACTTAAAAAAAATATATGTTTACCTGTCAAATTCGTGTGTACCATAAATAAATTTATATACCTCTGTACTCAGTGTTTTATTGTGAATTTTTATTAAAGCAGTTCAATTTATCATATTATCTAGATAAATGTACCATGTACATACCTAAGTGACCTTATTACATCACAAAACTGGCTGACCATCTTGAAAAATATGTCGTAAAATTTTATGATATAATCTATGTCATATTTTTATATATTCTGAACTGCATATCAGATCGACGCTTCGGTAAACAAAAGCCAAAAACCGGTCGAAAAAGAATATATGTACAATTATATTTTACTATGAAATTTTGGAACAAGCTTTTTTACGGGCTTAGATGGGTAAGCGAGATCGTGGCTCCGCTGATTATAAGTGACTATAAAAGCTCATACATATCATACATAATAGACGTTGACTTTCAACATACCACTGCGATTTTTAAAGAATGTGGAGAATGGGATCACATTCAAATTAAGCTCAAGATAAAAAACATTATGCAAACTTGTTCAGAAACACAAAACTATTTAAGGTTATATTGAAAAATTTTTATAATTTAAGAAATAGAGAAAAGAAATTAAATTCATGGCAAATTTCGACAAGTAATCCAGAGTGTTTAATAATTTAATGATTACATAATAAATGTGATAATATTATACTAAATGAAGCTGTAAATTAAACTACAAGAAATATTAGAAAAGCGTAAATAACTTTCTAAAACATACACCCTTTTTCAATACTATAGTTTGGAACGCAATAACTTAAAACTTCGAAGGTTTGAATCTCGGAGAAGAAGTAAAAATCAAAATTAAATTTCCTTAAAAACTTTTCAAAACAATCTCCTTCTATGGTGTAATAGAAAAGTTATTATATCTAAACACAATCTAGACGAACTGAAATTAGTTTCTTAGAACAACTTCCAGTAACAAAACGCTCTGAGCACACCAGACACAAAACAGAATTCTGTTTCCGGTTAATTTATGCATGCCAAGCGGAAAATTGCATATGAAGGCAAATTTTATTTACAAAAGAATGCGTTCGGTTGGCGGGAGATCAGAACTCGTTCAAAAAAAATCATTCTATGCAATCGACGAACGCTGCGCGCGCGTCTTAATGTAAACAGTTTTGGCGCCATTTTGAATCTCCATAAAATAAATATGTAATCAATTAATTGTAAATCATAACATATCAATTTAAATATATTTAAGTATAATTAGACAATGTATAAATAAAATAACAAAAATGGAGTGTAAAAGCAGTGTGATTGTGACTTTGTCGTGTTTAAATACATTTTATCGGAAATTTATTATTTGGTTCGTATATGCGGGTGTTATTTTGTTTTTAGTGCCATCACCGCCATCAGTATTTTGTGAGCCAGGTAAACTATCCAAATTAATGTAGCTATCTATCTATTTATTATTGAAATTAAATACGGCTTGATGCGATGTAAATTTAGCATAATGATTGAGTAGTAAGCTTTTTTTTGTGAAAAATCAGCAATAATTTCGTTTAAATTAGAATTATACTATTAAATTGACAGTCAATTATATTTACTGGACATATGGCGTATTTACTGGTGGTAGGACCTTTTGTGAGACCGCGCGGGTGGGTTTCGGTTTGAAGGGTGGGGTAGCCGTTGTAACTATACTGAGACCTTAGAACTTATATCTCGAGGTGGTTGGCAGATTTACGTTGTAGATGTCTATGGGCTCCAGTAACCACTTAGTTATAACGGAACACCCGTAAAAACCACTGTAGATTTATATATTAGTACAGATTAGATTAATTAAAACCGGTGTTCTAAATTCCAATATCGCGGTCTCCATTCTAGTCCATAATGACAAAAATTGCATCATTACGAAACGCTTCTAAGGCAGACGAGCTTATTATGGTAAGTGGTCACGGTCGCTCATAAATAATAACAGAGCCAACGCTGCCTCCTATACTATTGCAGACATGCTTAAAGTAACTAAAAAATTTACGTGAACTTAATAAACAAAAGAAATCATACTAGACTTCATTGCTACAATACTTAGAAATTCTAATGATGTAATGTATCTAACAAGGCATTTGGCAGCTAAGTGGATATGATAAAAATCCAATAATATTATTCCTAACGATTCGATAATATCAATAATCGATTTCAGCAACTCGATTGCACAATTCGTTTCGCGATTCGATTGAAGTTGATTATCCGGTCACTCCACTGACTCGTTCAATCTGTATTACTGACTTAGTTTGTATTCAATATACAAATTTGCGCGATCTATGAGGTCGCGACTTACCTGTAACTAATCTCTTACTGCAGCCTGAACGTGTCTCAATTGCACTGAATGAACGAAATACACCATACACCACTGCTTCGCAAAGACTATATATAGCTAAGCGTGCGAGCTCAATTCTATCATTCGTTCAATTTGTGAGGCTCTGATAACCTGTGAAAAAAATGACCTCGTTATTACGGCACTTTTCATCATCAATTCATAGGTTGTGTAGTCTTGACTGGAGGTCGCGAAACAGTAAACGCAATATAGGAAGACCCCATAGTTAGATATGCAATGATTTACGAAGGAACGACAGGAAGTGAACGAATAACGAATGAATCACTTTCACCAAATTGACCTAGTCGTAATTTTTGCGACAAGTTCATTTGGTTCGTTCAATCATGAACGACTCATTTACATTGCCTACAACTGTAACTCCATAACGAGACATTCGTACTATTAGTGTATTGTAAACGAGTCGCTCGCTTTTCATTAACACATAAATCTACAGATCAAAACAAAAAATGTATTACAATCTATTAACAATCTTAACCCTTTGCACTCGAGAGGTGAGTCTAGTTCACGGCTTTCTTCACGGCAAATTCGGTGCGCTGGTAAACAAACTATTTATGTTGCTTTATTTTATGATTGACATCTTGTGTTTCCTCCCGATCCACTAACGGTGCTTCTAGGTACTTCAAGCACCGGTCACCGTTCTCGTCGAACCCGTCGCTTGCGACGAAGGGCTCGACGAGTAAATTAACTCTCAGACACAGCCCACTGAGTTTCTCGCCGGATCTTCTCAGTGGGACACGTTTCCGATCCGGTGGTAGATTCTGTGAAGCACGGCTCTTGGTAGGGTTCGTGTTAGCAACGTCTTCAGGTTTGAGCCCCGTAAGCTCACCTACTAGTTAAGGTTACGCTGGAATAGCCTCCCAAGGCTACCAGCTTGGGTAGGAAAAAAAAAAAAAAGACATCTTGTTTATGTTTTTAATATCTGTTAATTAACGTTCTTTTTGTCGTTTGTAATTAAATCATGTGGTACGCCATACTTCCCTCTCGAGTGCTAAGGCTTAATTCTATTAAATATCACAAAAGTAACTGAATTTAAGGAGATCCATTATGGCGCATAAAAACTTAATAAAGGTCATTACTATGCGTTCGTGTTCATCACGGCCGATCACGTATGTGATAGGTGTTCTGTTTCCTCAAGGGATTTACCATTATATAAAATAAATGGCAATAAAATGTCTTCCTGTATGTATTTTTGAGACGACATTATTATAATATCGTCGGACGTGATTGCTTATATAAACCATTACTCGTATCGAGTGTTTGAATATGTAAATAAATTAAATGACTTTAAAAAGTTCTAATTCTCACTTTTGTTATTTTCATTAATATTGTCTTTGACGCTTCGTATGCTTTACAGTTTTCGTGAATCGTAAATTAAGTTTTAATTATGATTCGCGAAAACCGAAGGAAATATTGTAATCTATACTAATAGCGGTAATACTTTTAGCGGTAGGCAGCGGCTTGGCTCTGCCCCAGGCATTGCTAAAGTCCATGGGCGACGGTAACCACTCACCATCAGGTGGGCCGTATGCTCGTCTGCCTACAAGGGCAATAAAAAAAAATATAAATCTAAACTAATGTATAAAATACAGTGTACTTTAACAGGTTTACAGATGTTCCGTTATAACTACTGAACCATGCATCCGATTGACTTGAAACTTGGTTTCCATATAGAAAATACATGTACTTAATGGCTAGGCTAATATTTATATGAGTGTTGGACTCCCTAATAATAATGACAATAAATAATAATGTTAATTTTAAATGCCCAGCAAAGTGTAAAAATAAAACTCTTAATGAATGACATTCATGTAATCTTCATAGTTAAAAAAATAATTATCATTACATATATGTGGAACAAAATGAAATGCCTGAAAGCCCTGACTGTTGTGCCGAGGGTAGCGGGTTCGATTCCAGCAAACATTCGCATGATGAACAGGTTTGTTTGCTCTTTGTCTGGGTGTTTATTATCTATATATGTACATATTTGAACGTATACACATATGTATGCACACATGTCAACAAGGCTCAAAGTCGCGCAGCGAGCTATGGAGAGGGCTATACTCGGCATTTCTCTACGTGATCGAATCCGAAATGAGGAGATCCGTAGAAGAACGAAGGTTGCTGACATAGCCCGTAGAATTAGTGAACTGAAGTGGCAATGGGCCGGCCACATAGCACAAAGAGAGGACGGTCGATGGGGCAGAAAGATCCTGGAGTGGCGACCACGTACTGGCAAGCGCAGTGTGGGACGGCCACCTACTAGATGGACCGACGACCTAGTAAAAAGCGCTGGGTCTCGTTGGATGCAGGTGGCAATGAACCGGTCGCACTGGAAATCTATTGGAGAGGCCTATGTTCAGCAGTGGACGGCGATAGGCTGAAATGATGATGATGATGATGATGTCAGTCTGTGGTACTCGTAACACAGGGAATCCTAATTTGGGAGTGAATGACCGTGCGGAATTTATTCCTAGTTATTTATTTATTATTCCTAGTACCGCTAGGCCGTGACGGCATTGCTGGCTAATCATATCAGCTAATAATACATCGGCCTTCTAGGCATCGTGTTTGATGCGACTATTTTTTTAATTAAAATCTTTTCGTCATATCATACGAATATTATATAACATAAACTCCAATACGGAAATAAATTTGTGGAGACCATAATAATAATAGACAGATGGTTCGAGCGATAAGTAGATAGATAGAAATAAAGAATAAAAATTACTGGTAATAATTATAAAAGATATTGAAAACATTCTTAATGTCGTCTGTGCACGGCGTTGTCTGATTAGCTGAAGATCTTGGTTTAAGCGACATTTTTGCAACTTTAGAAAAGAGTCATTTAAAGTTTAAACTTTGGAAAAAATATCATAACAAAATAAAATATTCTTCAGCTATTTGAATGAAGTAATCTTTTTTTTATTGCTTAGATAAGTGGACGAGCTTACAGCCCACCTGGTCTTAGTGGTTAATGGAGCCCATAGACATCTAGGACGTAAATACGCCACCCATCTTGAGATACCTATACGTTCTAAGGTCTCAGTATAGTTACAACGGCTGCCCCACCCTTCAAACCGAAACGCATTACTGCTTCACGGCAGAAATAGGCGGGGTGGTGGTAGGTACCTATCTACTCGTACGGACTCAAGAGGTCCTACCAAGAGTAATTACGCAAATTGTAATTTTGCGGGTTTGATTTTTATTACACAATCTTAGTTAAAGTCCAATTAAAAACATCGCATCTTTAATAACAAAGGTAAATGTTGCGTATTAAGCGAAATGACGCTTAAACCAAATATCATTTCACCCCTCGATATGACTAAATTATAACTATAATATGTGAAGCAAAAACTTTGTATCCCTTTTTACGAAAATTGCGCGGACGGAGGAGTATGAAATTTCCACTCTTATAGTGAATATAGAGAAGAAGTGCACAATGCTAATATTTTTTTTAAATAATGCATAAAAGATACATTTAATCAATAAAGAAAACATTAGACACACTACATACCATGTATTTGACGCATACACGCATGCATACTATTTATTGTCAAACTTTTGTTCTTGACGCCTGTGGTCAAATCATAGACCTATGGTCAAATCGAGAATAGATTAAATATTGTTTGTCTTTATTAATATTTTTTTATAGTGTAGTCTTGGCGAAATTTGTGATTATAGAAGTATAAAATACAATCATAATAGTGTACAAACTTACAATTCCAATTAATTATACTGCGGTACCTTTAGCTATAACTAAAATACACTTGTCAACGTAAGCTACCAAATAAAATTATGAGCACCAATGATCTTCACTTGGTTGGTTATAAAGCGAAATGTGAAATGAAAGTTGATGATCTTGCAATTTCCACATAGTATTTATGGAATAGCATGTCTATTCGATATTGCTTTCTCACTATAGGAGAAACTTAAATCTGATTTTTGAATGAAATTTCATTTTCTCTATTTATGTGAAGTTGGGCTGTCTGTGGCCTATTACGTATGCCCAAGGAACTTATAATAATGATAGGCCTTT